TTATCCAGAAACACCACGCGTGTGGTATTCATAGGGCATATGCAAAAAAAATTGCTGAGTAGGTCTATAGCCGAGAAATATAACCGTCCTTCCATTTCTACCAGATGTGGGGCAAATGAGAGTTATAAGCTTCGCAGTGCACGTGAGTAGGAATCCCCAATTTCCCTTCGTTGGTCTTTGATCTCGAAGCGACTCGGGGTGTCGTTTCCCATGACTTTGACTTTTCCAGGTACGTGGAATGGATTCTCGCCGATGAACACATTCACCGTTCCCACAGATCGAGGCGAAGAGCAGCTGGGCACTTTCGATATCCCACGTCATGCCACGCCGAAATCTCCGTTGGGAGGGGCGACAGGGAACGGCTCGACCCACGTTTAACTGGGACCCTTAGAAATGTTCGTCTTGATGCTCTGAATGTAAGCGTTAAAATTAGCAAAGAAATGCTAATGTTCACTTGAAACTTTGTAAGCTCGTGCGTCTGCGGATGAGTGAAATTATAGCGGATAATTTAATTTATATCATTCAGTCCGGTTTGCCCAGATTTTGTCAGCCCTGCTGAAAGTGCAGCGTATTCTGGATCGCTTCCAACCAAGTAGACAGTAATAGATGTTAAACTTTAACATATATTACTGTTAACAACAAGTCCTTTAACAGTTAAAGGACTTTGAATGGCATCCTAGACTCAGGCCGTCGTTGCTCGTGAGCCACTCAAAATAAAAGTAAACTACTCAAATGATTGCAACTCTACCATTTAACTTTATAAATTGCTTTGTTGATAGCTTGACAGCGATCAATAATTTTGCGATTGCATCAAAATTCAGCGGGATTTATCCAGACTGCTCGGAACTTGCAGAAATATTCGAATCACCATGTAAATAGATTATTCGGATGTTAACCCAGCAAGCATGAGAGCATTCCACCGGCAATACACGAGCTTTAATTTTGATTCTTTCCAACGCTGGAATAAGGTTCCATCTCAACATTGAGCCAACGTTGCAATATCACTAATTGAAACGATCGAATGGAAGTTCTCTCTCGATCTGGTTGGAATTACGTGAGTAGGTGAGGAACCTCTCATCAAATAACATCAGAAGCTATCTTTCCTTCACATGAAGAGCTTATCAGTTTTCGCGAAGTTAGGTCCCTATTCGAACCGTTACATCTTTCTTCGCCGGGCAAGATTTTGCAGGAGTCTCTCTGGACTGGGTTACCTCTTTAAACGAATGTTTTAAGGAATTTGTTTCCCCTTAGTTTTTTTTTTTTTTTTTTTTTTAGCGGAAAATGATATGGTGCCACGAGAGGAGTATGAGGGGCTTACTGCATAGGCATCACGCGGTGCTTTGTAACATCGGCAATTTGGGCGAAATCTGGCTTTCGTTAACTATGTTTGTGAGAGTAACAACCAGATTGCTTGCTCGGCTTTTTCTTCACGTTATACCTATCTCCACGTTAAATGTTGCAGCAGCCTTAGACGTGATATGACCGAACATTGTTCTAGCAGTTCTCAAACGATCGTCTTGACGTTTTTTACGCTGGTCAGAGAGGCATTTTAATGTGATACCAACATTCATTTCGTGTCATGGTTTGAACGTTGAAGAATAAAACGCTCGGATGACACATTCCGAACGTTGCAAAAACGCTGCTGCATTTGCTGGAATTATTCATTCAATGCTGATAACACTGGATTGGCACGCTTCCGAAACGCTGCTTTTTGCTGGCGAAACCAACTGAAAATTTGCAGTTAAAGACAAATATATTTGGTAAAAGTGGAGTATTATGGTTCGAGTATTTTCCATTGCCTTTCAGAGACAGTAACATTCCTAAGTATGAAAGCCTATTCAAAGCGGTGATTTTGCATAGTGAATAGCTCGGGTGTTGCGTTGATTGCCTCGCATTCAACTGCAATCTAGATAAACGGTGGCTGCGTAATGGGTACTATTCAGGTCAAGCAAGAAAATTGCAAGAATCGTGATGGGAAAAAGTTGGCGACGTCTATCGATCACTTTGTGCCGGGAGCCTTTTAATGGTTTTCCTGCATTCCCCTACAGATTCTAAAAGTTTGGTAGCAATACCGAAGAGTAAGTGCATGAAGTTGATCAATTCGATAGAGCATTTCCTGCTTGTCGCTCTTGAATTAGTGCAATACTTTTTCAAGTGTTGTGACGTACATGAACATGTACATATTTGGCGTTTTGTCTCTTTTCATGGATATGCATGTACATCAGCCTAATTAAAGGCTTCCAGTCCAGACTTGTTTCCAGTACTTGCCCGAGTATCCTAATGATATTGATTTTTTATCATTATTTTGACGCCAATGATCATGGAGACACGAATTATTTGTGCTAATAGTTTTTATTTGCTCATTTTTGTAACTTCCTACTTTCGCGTGCGTGGCATGTGGTTTTATTCAGCATAGTCGCTCAGAAGTTGATTACATTGATCGCGTTTTATTTCAAATTGAATTGTATCTTTACAGGCACTCTTTATTTGGCAAGGTAAAACTGGCTTCCAGTGGTCTTCTTGAAGTCCCTTGAGGTCGGCAGCTTGGCAAACTGGCTTCTGACGAAGTTTCGTGCAGTGATGCAAACATGTTGCATACTCCAATTCGATATCTCCATATCGAATGCGAAGTTTTCGAATTCGGTTGGTTGAAAAAGCCGCCCTTGAGTGCGTGCTTACAAGAATCGACGGCAGGAACGCAACAACCCACGTTTTTACCAATGCTTGTTTATGACACTGGGTGAGAAGAGGTTCAGGACACGAGAAAGGCTTCAAATCGCCGGAGATAATAACAATCAGGATAGTTACTTATTCGGGTAAAAAAGGTTACGTCTAGGACTTTACCTCTGCTTCCCTACAAATCTCCATGAGATGTGATTATTTCCCTTCCCTCTTTTTTCTTATGCAGGAAACACCTCTTTATTGTTTATTTAATTATTGCTAGCAGTACTCGGCACAACAGTACTTCTCAAAACGAAGACTGGTGCACGTTTTCTCCCATAGGACTTTTTGGACTTGAAAACAGTGAACCCTCTATTTAGCGCTCCGCCGATCGTCGCCGACTTTGGCGCTATATCAAACGAACCACTGTGTCTGTGGCTACGTCACCGAAACCATCGAATAAATTTTTTGACTAAAAAGATGTGATGTTATATTGTTATCCCAAGTTCTCTCCGATACTCTACACTTGTCCTATGCACTATCCGTTCCATTAGTAGGAGTCACCTCTCGCGGTGGCAAAACATATTTAGCCGTGTTCAGTAATGAATAAGGGTTGCGGCAGGCATGATACTTGGCGCTAAATCGACGAGGATTTATGAGGAAACGAGCACATTTGTACAAATAATGATGTTGGCGGATGGCGACTTGCGAGGGTGGTGCTATAACGGGGATCGCTAATTATAAACTTATGAAGGCTTGTTCCCAGGAAAGAGTAGGCGATGAGCAAGGGAGGCGGCATATCGAGGATTAAATGGATTTCTTTCAAGTGAGCCTTTTTTTATTTTTAAGGGGTTTACCAACATGTCACTATCACTCAATGTTTATGATCGTGGTAAATGGGCAATTTTCTGCTCAATACTCGAATTGTTGCAGCAAAATTAAAAAATAAAGACAACGCTGCTACTCTTCGTTTTGTTGGTTTCGAATAAGCTGAACATTGTTCTTCAAATTTCTTTCGGGATGGCCATATGATAATGTGAAAGTTTTCTTGGGAAAGGAAACGTGGGTCTATCATGGAAGGAGGCAAGAGAAGGAACTGGGGAAGACATAGAGAGCTATTTAGCAATGCAGATGTCTGGCAAAAGATGGAACGGTTCCTCCCTCCCTCCCACAATTTCTAAAAAGAGAGAAGAGGGAGGGAGAGGGAGAGGGAGAGGGAGAGAGAGGGAGAGAGAGAGAGACCTGGTTCGCATATATACGATATCGGATCATGGGCTTCCTTGATCTCAGCCGCAGGTTCTCTCCCTCTCTCCATGGCCATTATATGCCATACTGGTGCTCCATCCCAACTTCTTCCTTGGTGGGGCTCAATTAAATGGAAATCCGTTCACATTACCCCATCCATCAGTCTCCTCCCGACTTTTACTTCCTAGGAGACAAGACTCCAGTTATTTTCTCGTCATACCTTGCACAGAGCTATTCTCTTCCTACTCCTTCCCTCTAATTACACAAGCTGTGCTGATGATTCGAGAGCCTTTAGGGATCTGGATATGCCTTCTCTCGGTTTGATAAAAGCAAGTTTGTTTGGCCCGTTCCAACTTGAGATGCAAAATGGCTATTTTATTAGTTTTTATTTTCCCTCAGAAGTGACATTTAACCCAGAAGTCTTTTCAGAATCAGAGATGCTCCCAAGAGGGCCCCAATTTCCGCTGATTTTTCCTTTCCCCGTGATTGCGATCATTAGTGAGGGCAATCAGATGAGGAAGAACTCAATCGTTCTCCATTACCTACCCGAGCTTAAGAGAATATATTACGTTCTTCCATCTCTGAAGGGTCTCTAGATTCTAGTGACTCCTGATGTTTCTCCTCGAGTCATATCGATCTCACTGCTGTCTTGCCCTCACTCCCCTCGTTTCATGTCGGTATCTCCCTCCTTTTCTTATCTCGCCTTACTTCATACACGCCAGATACCGATAGTCCCATCACCCCATCCTCCCTTTTCTCAATCATATTCCTTTCTTTGTAGTTTCTTCAACCTGTTTGCTCAAGGGTCCGATGGAAGGATATCCTGAGCCCAGGATTTCTTTAAAAAAAAAATTCTGAGGAGAACTACTGTGCAGGAAAGGAAGAGAATCGCCTTGAGAGGAGAGATAAAGGACTTGAAGTGCGGAAAGGAGATTCCAATATCCAGATCCCAGAGACTCTCCGCTCATCTCTTTTCTTCTGAAGAGGGGGAAAGTCAATAAAAAGGGGTCCACTTATGTCTCCAACCCCTGTCTGGAAAGTGGAAGATCCTCCTGAGAAGCCATGGAAGGGAGAGAGAGAAAAAAAGAGAACCGATGAAAAAAAGGACATCTTATTGGAGATCGTGATACAGCAATAGATCAGGTTCCCAGGACTCTGCTCTCTTCATTTCTCAGCTCACCAAACCTAAGTAACAATGGAGAGTCCCAAAAGCAAACAAATTATACAGTGAACGAACAAAATGGAAGAAAGGAAGAGCAAGAACCATGAATGTGGAATGAAGAACTCACCAAGATAATCGTCCATCAGGGTTCCAATGGCAAACTGGGGAATAAAGGAAAGCAAATAAGGGAGGAAAGACAATTACACGAAACAAGAGAGACTTTAAGCGGGAAGCGAGAGGAAGAGACATACAAGACAAAATCTCTTACAATGTCAGTGGCATCAACACGAGTGCCCACGATCTTGAGGCGGATCTCATCGTCTTGTTGGATCACCATATCCTATAAAATAAGGGGGAGAATGGATACATTTTGTAAATAATTATTCAAAACTATCCGACTATTCAAGAATTGCCGTGAATGGAAGAAGAATCTCACTTCATCCTGGGTCTTGTAACAGGGAGGGTTGGAACTCTGATCAAATTGCATATCAGCTGGAATGCTCTGGATGCCAGGAAGAGCAAAACAAAAGAACAGTACATGACAGATCAAGTACGGGAAATGAAAAACTGAGAGGACGTTTTGAGTGACATCATCTTACATGTCGACTGATGAAGCAGGACAAGGGCCCTATCTCTGTGAAAAGGCCAACCTGAGAATAAGAAAATCACTGCCATCAGTGCCCTTTCCACATAACCTCCCGTTTACTTCAGAGCATACAGGGATCAGGTTCCTTAATGACATGCACTGTCCATCCTCTCCCTTTTTGCGGCATGGGGCAGCAATACATACAGAATGATGAAGGGAGGTATTCCACTGGAGGTAGAAATGGGGGAAGGAGTGAAAGGGCTCAGAGGAAAGAAGAGGAGGGAAGGGGGGGAGAAGAGAGAAGGAGAACAAATAAGATCCGTTTGTTCATCCATATTGGGTGAAAGGGGATGGGATCCATAATGGCACAGAGCTAGTAAACATTGGACATGGTTATGGGACTCTGAACCCCAGCTTGAACATTCTCACAACACTGATTCCATCCAGCAGTCCCTATATTATCCACTTCTTTATTCGTCTTTCAGACCAGGATGAGTAACACCTTCTCCACAGGTCAGGCAATGCACATATGCCTTGGAAATAATTCCATCAGAATTGGGAGCACAACTTTGCAGGTTGACAAGAATGTGCTGAAGCAACTTTGACCCATGGCATTTCAAATATAGAAACCACAACCCCTTTTCCAAGTAATGCATATATCCCAAGGAAGATGAACTATGGCATTCATCAGTGGCCTATTGATTCTGCCTGCTCTTCTCTTGATCTGTTTATGACAAGTGATAATTGGTAAGAGAAATATTCTGAGAATATTTACATAAATTGAAGCCCTAATTCAACTAGCTTCTTAAAGAAGTTCAAGCATGCTAACTAATCCTTGGGTTAGAGATGAATGTGAGGGAATGCCCACTAACCTTGTTCACTTGAGTGACCACAGCATCAAGAACTTCTCCCTTGAATGGCCGGAACACAATGGCTTTGTACTTCACTGGATAGACGACAAATCCTCGACCAGGTTGAATGAGTCCTGCTCCAATGTTGTCAATTGTGGTCACTGCTATCACAAATCCATGCCTGCAAAACATCCTCTGTGGGCACTTTCACCAATGTAGAAGAATGGCAGAGATGTAAGAAATGAGGACTCACTTGCCAGTGCAGGTACCTTCAACTTCTGTGAATAGTTTCTGTTTCACTGTGTCCATCAATTGAGGCCCAAAATATCGAGGGTGTAGCATGATCTCATGCTCCAAGGATATCTGAAATCCAACATTATCTCATCAATATTCAAAGAAGCAAAGAAAATAGAACAAGGTCCATAACTGACTGCTGCACTCTACTCTTACTCACATGATAGAACATCTCTCTGCTATCACCTCAGTGTCACCATTCCATCAAGAATCATCTGCAGCAGGGGTTAAGAGTGTTTAGCAATAAACATGAATCTTGATTCAGAGAAGGAGAAACATTACTATCCAACAGGTAAATGTTGTCTAGGAGATGTTTGAGTTCTTGTTCAACTCAGGAACTATGGACAGTTCCTTCTCCCATGTGCCAACAATGGTTATACAGTCCATAGCTCTCAGACTCAGACTACGTCATCTCTATCATTTCCTTGACTTTGCAGAGGATATACCCAGTATTCTGGTTGGAGTTTACTAATCACTGATCACATACAACCACTGATGAGGGTCTAGGTCATAACAAGATGGTCCCTCACCTCATACTGCACAGGAAAATGACATGCAACACTTTCAGGGAATGACTGACCTTCCTGAACAAGGATGTATTGTGGCCTTCCTACTTACTCTCCAGACTTCTTCCTATGGTTGTTAAATGAAGGGTTGCATATTGATCAGTCCCACTCCCCAAGATCTTCCCAAGCTGAAGGCAAAGATTTTTCAAATCCAGCAAGAGACTATTGGATATGTTTCCAGGTGAGATGCACAATAAGATCAGCCACCTATAGGCTGCAACATGGGGGATATATGTATCACATACACACTTCATTGTGCATAGAGAATACTTCCTGCTGTGCACTTCACAACGGTACTCTACTCATGTATCAGCAATGTCTGCATTGAAGTACAGATGATAGGAAGTTTTCCTGGAATACCATTTACATGCATTTGATACATTTAAAAAATATTTTTTTTGCGAGGAAGGTCTCAGGTTTGGAAAATGGTTCATCTCCATCTTACAATGGATTGTGCATAAATGGGATGTGAGTGATGAAAATTACCTAAGCACCAACTCATCAAAAAGAGGGATTCTGAGAAGACTATGGTGGACATTTCACTCATATGTGGCTATTTCTTAAAAAATTAGAGGGGTGGCTTAGAAATTATTTATAATGAAACTCATATACAGAAACCCACAAAAATAGCAATCTACCTATCTGTGGAATCAGAGTAAATGTTACCATGCTCTTTAGTAACCACGGAAAAGGAATTGCTGCTTTTCTCTATTGAAGAGTTTTCAAAACATGGCAAAAATATTCAACCTATTCAAATTGCAAATGATAAATGCACTCTTAAGAAGAAAAAAAAGAGCCATCCCAAATAGCCAAACCCTGAGCCAATATAAATAGTCACCTATGATTTTGCTCATTTTGCTCACAAGTTCATGCTATGCTATATCAAAATCCAAAGACCAGGAAGATTGACAAGTGTTCATTGAACAGGAGGCTCTACACCCCATGCATACCTAATATTACATATTCTACATCATGCTGGTGCAAGATTCTGTCTAATCATCCAATGCAGATCAAGTATCATGCCACATGTGAATGACTTGGGGTTTGGACCAACAGAATCCTTCTGTACTATGTGCACAGCAAATAATTTTAGACATACAGAACAGTTCCACAGTTGATATTTAGTTGATATATACCTCATATACATGGTATAGGGTACATCAGAGAAGACTGACACATTTGAAATTTACAAGAAACTTGTTTGCAGGTCATTCTCTTTTTTATATGTTAATATTCTCCAGGTTTGAAGTTTTATCTGCCATGGAAAAATTGCAAGCTTCTTATTGTACAAAGATTGTGGAACTGTTTTTCACAAAATTGTGCATGTTGATTTAGTGCTTGCTCCAACTCCCTGCAAGAGGTGACAAGCTGACTTGGACAGGCTGTACTACTGCTATGGTTTCTGGTGTTTGTGCTGTACATATTCATCTTGGTCTCTTTGCATCATTCACAGATCCTGAATTAGGGAATGTTTTTGCAGTACCTGCAATTTTGTGCTGCAAGATGGTGCATCTCTTACTCCTAACTCATGTTGAAACACACATTGTGCTAGCACAATGGAGCCTGCTGCAAAGAAGTTCTGCAATCCTCGTATAATAAACAACTTCCCATTTTTCTAAGGCAAACAAAACTCCAAACCTTGCAGATTATTAACCAACAAAAAAAATTGCAAATGATCATCAAACAAGTTTTTCTTATAAATGTCATGTGTCAGTCTTCCCTGATACAGCCTATAGCACATAAGTTTCTCACTAGATGTATGCACCAGTGCAATCCATGGCTATTTGAAATTCATAGAAAAATTTATGAAAGCTGTTTGAATGTATACTTCCATATACATGAATGAAGGAATTTACATGTAAGCCAAAAGGGCTAAGATAAATGGGTTATGTACAAAATTTATGTCATATGGTGCCCAATCTTGCCAAGAGAATTGTGCAGAAGCTCTATCTACATATGAATGTATCAATCAATAGCAAAGTGAAGGGCTAGAATGCTTTGGGCACACTTCAAAAGGGAATAAACCCCTTAACAGCATCAACCATGTATGAACGTCAACTGATTTCCTCTTACAACACAAAAAAGAACTAATAAACTGCTACCAAGAGGAAAAGGTGATGGTGTTGAAGGATTGAAAATCCACTTCCATCCATCTGTATTGAAATTTATCACTTCACCGACTTCTACAACTTTGTCACAATAAAAGGTATATTTTTTAATTCTCAAAAAAACTTGAAAGAGCAGAAAATTAATCTGTAGTTTAGGGGTTATGGAGAGAGAAGTACGGGAAATAATTAGTCATTTTCTTTTGTCAATATCATAATTTAAAAAATGGAATCGAGAGCAGTTGGACCAAACAAATAAACATATGTGAACCTTTGTTTTTGAAGAGAAGGGGAAAGATGCTTAGGGAACTCAGAGTAAGTCTCTGAGCTCCCAAAAGTTTCTTAAAAAGCAACTGTTTATGATAATGTGCAATGTCTAACCATTTGCAGAGAAATCAGCAGTATTTCTTGCACTGTTTCTCATTGGTGAGTTGAATCCCTGGCAATCTGCATGAACTAGTCACTCCTATTACAAGAAACAAAGTGAGACCTCTGGAACAGAGGAAGCTCAACAGCAGACCACAGATATAGAATAGTGAGTAGGATGAAGTTTGCCCAGGATGCAAAAAAGAAACAGTGCCATTCTGAAACTTATAGGATTTGAAGAAAATTAATAAGACAAATAGACCAAATACAACAAATAAATTGATAATTTTCCTCAATCCATGCAATCACCATCCTTTCAGAGGTGGAAACCCAGAGGGAATGATATTGCTGTACAAGGATCACAGTTAAGAGTTCAGCACATGATGCACACTGTTAACATCACAGAAAAGCAAGACTTTATTTCATATCATCACAAGGGAGTCTTTTTGAGACAGAGACACCCAGATGTTGCAGCAATCATGCCTTTCTATGTCAAGATGGTATCCTGGTTGGCAGCCATCATTGCAATGCCATTATTTGTTACTTGGGATTACCTGGTTGCCACATTAGCCTGGTACACACCTACATTACTGATGAAGAAAAAATTGCATCTCTGTTTATGCACAATGGTAATGACCAAAAATAAGAATAGGACCAAAAGACAATGGGCTTTGTGCACCAACAGATGTCCTATGAAAAGCAATGGATGTTAAATTTCTTATTTTGTTCTTGAGTGAGACTATCTGGGATTCATTCTCTTTCCAAATAGCTATTATTTGCATTCCTGGATAAGATTTTTGCAGTCTTTTGTTTCTACTTTTCCTCTTGCTTACAACCTTGCATGAGAGTAGCATCTTTGTAATTCAAAATATAAAAAAACAGGAGTCTGTGGGTAGGTTATTAACACATTTTGTGATGTGCTAATCACTAATGGAGTGCACTAAGAGTTTCAGGTCTCTTGAAATCAGAAGATCAATACAAATCAAGAAAAAATAATATTTTCACTGGGTTCCATACCTTTGGCTGAAACGCAGTTTACTGCTAATATGCCAGGTATGAAGGCAGAGATGAAAAGATTCACAGAGAAGGAAACATAAAAGTTTCAAGGCATGGGTTCATGTGGAGAAACAAAATCATGCTTGGAAAATTGTATTATAGACTGAATAAGTTACAGACCCTTTAGATTCTTATGCTAAAGTTTCAAGCAGATGGAGAGGTGGAACAAGCCCTGATATGACATGATGCTGGATGAAGACAGGTTTTCAACAGACACTGGATGAAGACAGACTTGAATATACATACAATCTGGATCATAGAAGAAATGCCCCAAACCCAAATGTTCTTTTGATGGCATCAAAGTAATGATGAGTCCAGCCATCTTTTGTCCTCTCCAAGTCTCTGGAAAAGGAAACAAAAAATTGTTAGGATTTCCTCATTCAATGGGTAATGCCAAAGTAACTCACGACCTTTGTTCATCTTGTTCAAACTTAAACCTTTTTATTTATTTCTTGTTGGATTTTATAAACCATTTCTCCATGTCTCATTACCTAGCAGAAGCTAAAGAGAACATCCTACTTTTTCTTTTGGCAACAACTTTCTATTTCACACTCTACAGATTCAGGCACACTGAATCTAACTTTATCTTTCACATCGTGAAAAAAATGACACTTTTGGTTAATGTGCCTCCATGCAAATGGTCATACTAGTCCCTAACACAAGTACAAGTGATCATATGCCTTCATGTGGCATAAATAACACTTCCTTTTCATTATCTTGCCAGAATATGGAACTGATGTCACAGTTCCATAGCTTGTGAGAGGCAGAAACAGATGCTGAAAGATAACTTTGTCCTTATATGAGGAACTATATAGTCTTTCCAGGAAACATTTCAGAGACCATGAAAGGACAGAAACATATAAACATGATGATGAATTCTCCCTTCACAGTCCTTGCTATGTCTCATATCATAAAACAAATGACACCATTGATGGACAGAGATTAATTCTCTGTCACAAATGTGAAAATGACTGCCTGGTTGCCATAAACAGCTTAATGAAAATCATTATCAAATGAGTCTAAAGAGATCACCTTCACCCAATGGATAGAGCAAATAGGTTTGAAGCCTATCATGTCAGTCAGGCATGACTGGGGCTACAGAGGTCCAGGGATCTTCAGAGTCAATTTTGAATCTTTTGTATGAGAGAATAATTTTTCAAAGAGTTCAATTATAGAATTAGATACAATTTTTTAAAGCTACTGAAGTCCATGGATAGAAAACTGCCACAAAAATTCAATATGGAAAATGAATGCAGTGCCTCTTCTGCATTGCTTTTTGAGTAACTTCTGTGCTTAGCACCATCATGAGCTTTTTACTAGGAATTGTTGACCATAATCAATTGTCACTTGGATTTAGCAATGTGGCAATACAAAACTGAAGGATTACAGGGCAAGTTGAGCCATTTCTATGCAAAAGTAAGCTTAGGAGAAATTCACTTCCATTTTGCTGACATCAAATAAAAGTCAAATCTTGCATTCCCTTTCATATACATGAATAGAATCAAGAATATGTAGACGCAGGGGAAAAGTAACAATGTAACATTGTGCCTTTGGCCAAGTTGAGGATTTTCATTTAGCAGAATTGAACACAAAGACAGTCATTATTGCAGTTGAAGAGCTCCTGGAACAAATACCAATTAATTTTCAAAGCACTATCCTCATCACAAAAAAATTGAATGGGTAGCTAAACTTGCTACACAGTCCACCTACCCCATCCTACCTTGTGCAAATGCATTATTCTTTGGTGAATTCTAATGTTCCCTTCTCTTGAAGGAATGAACCATTTTTGGTTTTCTTATCTATCACAGTGGATATGAAATGTTGGGAGGTATCTTTGAGAGCCAAATGGAAAATGGACTCCTCACCTCCCATTGTAAAACTTCCTCTACCTTAACATCCACAGAGGAACCAGAAGAGTCATATCCACATCAGTAATAGTACCCATTGTGCAACTGCAAGGATTCGAAGCAATACAATGTTGAGGATTGACTGAGTGGCTACTCTGATACCATATGATGGCAAGAACTGAATGAAAGACGGAGTTGGAGTCAGTATGGCCAACTCTAACATTCAATATGTTCAGCAATTTGTTGCTTACATTATGGGGACACCAGTCTGTTTGATGAGGACATCAGTACTGGATTCCAATTGCTTCAGTTTCATTGTCACTGTGCTGTAATGTTCCTCTGGCCAAGATTTGAATCGCCAACTCTGAACCACTTTCTTTGCTGGGATCTGGAAAATAAAAAGAAAGGTTTTTCTTTAAATAGGAAGATAGAGAAATTGGCAAAGTGAACTTGAAGAAATGGCACAACCACAGGAAAGACAGCAAGAGGAGAAATCATGTTCCAAAATGAATCTGTGGGGGCTGTATTTATCATGAAGGGTTCTTCAAATCTAGTTGGCAAGTTAACAAGGTGCTTCAGACCAAGACATATCAACATGCCATTCTTTACCAAATGACAACATATCAGTCATGATGTTATCACTTTATTCTCATGTACAAACCACCAGGTCACAGCTTATTTTACAGTATTGTTGGCAACTGCCACATCAAAAACAAAGAAAAGGAAGCAGAATCACTTATTGAAGAGACCTGAAAAGTCCAACTCTTCGGGGAATGAAAATGAATTTTTGTATTGAGTGTCAGTCAGTAAATGCCTACTCTAGCTTTTCTAGCAAGTTTTTTCAGAGTCTTATTCTTTTTGAAACATGGTTGCTCAACTCCCCTTCTTCTTATTGTCACTGACCTAGAGGCATCTCAAAACTTTCTGCAAGTCTACTATTGGAATATGGTACTCGCATTATCTGCTCACAAGTAGGAGTAGGACTATCACTGATGAGGTTATTTTTTTGGGGGACAATTTAAGAGACCTTGTCTCACGAAATATTTATGAAAAACTTTGAAGAATTCATCAGGTTATGATAGAGAGCCATAGTTTCTTTGTCTGGAAAAATCTCAACATTTTCCATTACCTTGTTATTGCATGGTGTATAATGAGGTGCTGTCCCACTCCTAGTGGTATTTTCAGATCTCATTTGATCATCATTCATTCAAGCCTTGGAAATGGAAGCAATGAGAATTCAACAGAGTTTCATCTAAGTCAGTGGTTCCCAACCTTCCTTTTACTCTCATTGAACCTTCATGCATTTGGGGGGTAATAACCCCCTGGTTGGGAACCACTGATCAAAGTAGATAATGGGCAGTGGTGAAAAATCATTGCTGACATCCCTTCTTAGCCTTTTAGATTATATCAATGAACACTAAAAAAAGTTTCAGTTGACTCACTTATTTTCCCAAAGAATCATCATTGGATACAAGGCTTATTCTGCCTGAAAAGTATCCTGGCATTTGTCACACTTTACTCCACAGTGGATGCCTCAATTGCAAAGATAATAACTAATGAGCTGAACAAGGTTCTGCAGAGCTCACATGCAAATAGCACAAATAGAAGCTGCATTCATAACAAAGTTACTTACCAAGTCAAGATATTCTCCAGAAATATTTCCACCAAGGATGGCGAACTTGGAACCTTTGGTGGCCTCTGAATCCATGATGGCAGGGCCACGAGTGAATGCTTCCACCATCTCTTTCAGGGTCAGGACACGATATATCTCTTCAGCTGTGCATTTCAGGTTCACTTGAAGTTCCAAGTCTCCTATATTTATCCTCACTCCTCCAATTTCCAACCGTTCCATTTGTGAAGTGTTCTTTGCATGCTCCTGGGTTCTAGATTTCTGCAAGTAAAATTATCACAATACAAAAATACCAGAAACCTACAACCACTACCAAGGTTCTAGCCTGGAAATTTCCTGGACTGGGCAGACTCATTGAATTTCCATTAATGTGGCTATTCCTCTCCACTTCAACCTGAGGATACCCAACCTTATCTACGAGGGTCACCCCAAAAGTAATGCTCCCGATTTTTTTCAGACAAATGATTTATCAGAATCGAACGCAAGTACAGAGGTAATAGTTAGCAATAGCATGTGTGAAAATTTCTGTATATTTATTTTTCCACATAGTCCCCATTACGTTCCACACATTTGCGCCAGCGTGGAAGCAGTGCCATCATACCGTCGCGAAAGAAAGCTTCATCTTGTTGATGCAGCCAGCGACGAACCGCCGTCTTCACATCATCGTCTGATTGAAAACGGTGCCCCCGTAGAGCATCCTTCAGAGGACCGAACAAGTCAGAGGGGGCGAGGTCTGGACTGTATACAGGATGAGGAAGGACACCCTATCCCATCTTTTTGCAATGGCTTCCGATGTTAGACGACTTGTGTGAGGCCTGGCATTGTCTTGTTGCAGTAACACCTCCTGCATGTTCGTATGTGGTCTTGCTTGGCGTATACGGGCCTTCAGCTTCTTCAGAGTGCTGATGTATTGTTCCGAATCGTTCGTTGACCCTTTAGCCAGAAAGTCAACCAACACTACTCCACGAATGTCCCAAAAAACAGTGACCATAACTTTGCCCGCCGATGCCTGGGTCTTGAATTTTTTTCGGGCGCAGGGATGTGTCATGTACTCCACTCCATAGACTGCCGTTTTGTCTCAGGTTCATAATAGTGAACCCAGGACTCGTCACCGCTTATCATTCGTGACAAAAAGTTGTCTCCCAGCTGTTCATACCGCTGAAGAAGTTCCGAGGAGATTCTTTTCCTCTCTGCCTTGTGTACGTCTGTAAGCATGCGCAGTACCCACCGAGCACAAACCTTGCTGTATCCAAGGTTATTGATGATGGATTCGACAGCATGGTGACAGATGCCGACAATATGGCTCGATTCCGCTTGCGTGATCCGCTGATTACCCCATATCAATTCATCAACCCTCTGCTGGTTGGAATCAGTCACTGCCGTTGCTGGCCGCCCGCTTCGTGACCTGTCAGTCAGAGACGTATCACTACTTTTGAACTTCGTAACCCACCTTCTCACTGTATGCACACTGACAGTATCTTCTCCATACACATTTGTGAGACGTCTGTGGATCACTATCGGCACTTCCCCTTCCGCAGTCAAAAATTCAATCACAGCTCTCTGCTTAAAATGTGACTCTGACATATCGGCCATTTTGAACTAAGCGTACACTTATATCCTCCTGGGGGTGAAACCACGAAACTTCGCCAGCAGCGGTGGAAAACAATGGAGTCAATGCTGGCAAAATGCCAATTTCAATTGCAATTAAGCATTACTCAGAAAAAAATCGGGAGCATTACTTTTGGGGTGACCCTCGTAGTATTACACCATGAAACCCAGCATTAACAGCTGAAATCTCCAGGATAGGAAATTCTAGGAGATCTGGATCCACACAATTGGAATGTACAGTAAGATGATTCAAAGTTTCAACTGTGTGCCTAATGAGAAAGAAAAACAACATGAAATAACAGAGGTACATGCCAAAGCATTCATCTTCATTATTCCTGTGATTGATTCCTATATGTGACTGTCTCATTCTGATGGAGCTACTTCATCTGGGGATGTTCATAAAAATTCTGAAATGATGCCAAATTGCATTTAAAGCAAGAGTTCATAAAAGTAACAGAAGTCTATCAATCCATTTGAGACTGGCATAAACTTGCCCTTTTCTAATTCAACTTGTGGATAGCTCAGAAGACAGAACAGCTCCTGATATATACAGAAAGGTCTCAATTGAGGGTGTACAAGAGAATACTTATTTTCCATTTACATAGTGTAACATAGCTCAGCATCATAGATGAGAAAAGCCAAATATTGCCATTTTCTCCAAATTTCACAGCAAAAACTCTTTCCCTCCCATATGTTTTTTGACCAATAATCTGAAAAACCCCACAAAAATTTAAAAGATGCAAAAAAAAAAAGAACACATTGCACCAGTTTCTCCTGACATAAACAGCCTGTGAATATTGGAAGTCCTTGAAAGAAACTCTTGACGGAAACCAGAGTCAAGTAGTTCAGCTATGAGGCTTTGATACAATTTCCCTGTTGTGTTTTCATGTGCTTCAGGGTAGTAAGGTTTGCAGTACACAAAGGAAGAGCAATTGCAGCAAGCACATTCTTTGACATCATGGGCACACAATAATTGTGCCCACCAAAACAGATCCATATGCGAGAGACTGAGTGACAGAGAGCATGACACTTTCATTCAATAGCAAAATTGTATCCCATTAGGATGATCTGATATATTGGCACCTTGGGATTCTAAGGGATGACAGGTTCCTTTAATGGAGCTAGTGAGACAGCACGAAACTTAAGTGAAAGAATGTGGAGATGGGTTGGGATAGAAGAGAAGGGGGTTTCACACATACAATGTTGCTACCTCAGATTTATCATTCACACATCCAGCTTAATCCTGATCTGGTTTATCTCTGGCAGTGATTTTCAACAGGCAAAGACATAGTCATTCCTTTGTTGTAAGAGACACACAGTTGAAACTTGGAGACCTTACTGAACTTTCCATCTGTGCATACATCAACTACAGAGCATATGCAATGTCCCATTAAAAAGATTTCTGTCCTTATGTTGTCCAATTTTAATTTATAATTTTACTATGAGAAACTGGATAATGGTTAAACATACACTCAACTGGCAAGCTTGTCCACACTACAGCACAGCTGAATAGCAGTGTGGTTGTCTCAGCAGTTCTGTCAGTTTCTGTCACTAGCAGATATGCTGAAGAGAAAAAACCCTGCATAGGGTTTTTTCTCAGCTCATCTGCAACTATGAACACTCAATTCAATGAGCACCTAGCTCTTTCTACTTGGTAAAGGGGGAGCTACAAAAATGCAGACATTATGACTAGGAAGCATATTCAGTCCTAAAGATCTATCTAAAACAGTGTTTCCCAAACTGTGTGCCGCCACAGCAACTCATGTGTACTGTGAAATGTTCAGTAAGGTTAAAGAAAAATGCAATAAATTTAAGCACTGGGCGATGGAAAAAATTCCCTAAGTTTGCCACCCAGCTGAGGAAACTGTTAACAATCATGGAAGAAATTTCCCTTCAAGCTATTAGGCAACACTGCAGGAACAAGAGTCACTGAGGCTATGTGACTGACGTGCTAACTTGTGAGGCTGTATGCCGTGTGATTTCTGCTGCTGTGAATTACTCTAGAAACATGGACAGATTTGTGCAGAAAAGACATATTCCGACATCTACGTCTTCCTCCGAGGATATCAAGTCAAATGGAACCGAGAAGAAGAGGATTAAGTCAGTGATACGTCAGTATAGTGACAGTTACTTGGCCTATGGATTTTCGTGGTTTGGCAATGCGTCTTGTCCGACACCAGAATGCCTTATGTGTGGGGAGACATTGAGCAACCACACGATGGTGCCAAGCAAGTTGAAACGCCATTTTACAGGTAAACATTTGTCTCTCACTGGCAAGGACGTGCAATACTTGAAGCACTTGAAGGAGCAGAATGTGAAGCAAACTCTTTTCATGAGGGATTCTGTAAGGGTTTCAGACAAGGTACAGGAAGCAAGCTATCTAGTCGTTCAACTAGTAGCGAAGGCAAAGTCTCACACCATTGCTGAGACATTGATTTTACCAGCTTGCAAAGAAATTGTGAGAATTATGATAGGACCTGATGAAGCCAAAGAAGTAGCAAAAGCGTCTCTCTCAGACAACACAATAAGCTGGCGTATTGATGGAATGTCAGCTGATATTGAGTTAGTGCTACGAGAGAAACTGAAATTAAGCAGAAAATTTTCCCTGCAGGTTGATGAATTGATAGACATTAGCACTCAGCTCATCGCAAATGTCAGATATGTTGATGATGACTCAATCAAAGAGAATTTCTTCTTTTGCTAAGAACTACTGGAGCATGCGACTGGAGATGAAATATTCTGAGTCATGAATGACTACCTTGAGGGGGAAAGTGATTTGCAGTGGGAAAACTGCATTAGTATCTGCACCAACAGCACAGCTTCGATGACAGGCAATGTGTTTGGGCTTGTGGCCAAAGTCCGTGAGCAAAATGCCGATGTACAGGTGAACTACTGTGTTCTACACCGTGAAGCCCTCGTGGCTAAAACTTTGCCAGAGGGGCTCAAGTCAGTGTTAGATGAAGCTGTGAAGATCGTGAATTTTGTAAAATCATGGCCTCTGAATTCTTGCCTCTTCTCTGTTCTGTGCAATGAGATGGGAGCAGAACATCAATCCTTGCTCCTGCACACTTATGTGCGATGGTCATCTCGTGGCAAAGTTCTATCTTGTGTTTGTGAACTCCGGAATGAGCTTAACATTTTTTTAACTTTGCAAGAATCGCCATACACAGACTTAATCTCCGATGAAGACTGGACTGCGAAGGTTGCCTACCTTGCGGATATCTTCACACGTCTCAACGAGCTCAACAAAAAATTCAAGGCAGAAACGAAAACCTTCTGACAAGCATGGACAAATTGGAAAGTTTCAGGGCAAAACTAGCCCTTTGGTGTGAACAAGTGGCATGTGGTTCAATTGAAATGTTCCCCATGGTGAGTGCAGCTGACAATGCTAGCAAGCTACCAAAGATTATCACAGAACACCTTGACACACTTCATGAAAAATTCTGCTCCTATTTCCGGTCAACAAACCTTGAAGAATTTGACTGGGTGCGGGACCCATTCAGTCTGTCTTTGTTTGAATCCACGAAGAAGCTGCCACTGAAGGCTCAAGAGGAACTTATAGAACTTAGGATGGACCGCACATTGAAGATGAAGTTTGTGGAAGTGCCACTAGACACATTTTGGCTACTGACAAAGAATGAATATCCAACAATATCCAACCGTGCTGTCTCAGCGTTGTTGCCATTTTCGACCACATGTGTGAGTTGAGCTTCTCTGCACTGACTTACATCAAGAACAGAAGGGAACGACTGACAACTGTCGACCCTGAGATGAGAGTTGCCCTTTCGACCATTACACCCAGGATCAAGTGCCTCTGTTCTGGAAAGCAGGCTCATATGTCACATTAAATAAATATCAGGCTCCTTTGTTATGATTTTATGCGTGGAGTACCGTGAAGTTCGCACGGAGGAGATAGGTGTGCCATGGCCCAAAAAAGTTTGGGAAACACTGATCTAAAACACTGAACTCAGAACATCATATAAACTATGCCCTACTTCTGAAGCAGTAAGGGTGATGTTGGCAGCAGGCTTTGTCTTCAAGGAATTTCCCTGTTCCTCTCCACCTTTGGTTGGTAGAATCATGTCTTTTGTGAACTCTAGAGAAAAGAGAACAAGAGCCTCCTTGATATCAGATGCACTGGATCATCTTAGTTGTCATATCAGATCTGTAGCTATCAGGTCATGGCTTAAATGTGCTATGAAGTGTTAATAAATGGACTTATGCAGTACAACTTACCTTCCTGGAAGTCCTTAATATACTTTGATAATTGTTCCCTGATGAGTTGAGCACCCTTAGTCCTCATCATTCCCTTCAATTTCTCTGATTCTGGTCCTGATGACTTGATCCTCACTGATACCTATAAAGGAATAGATACAGTGAGGCATGCATAAGCATGTCCACAACTTCACAATCTCACCCAGGCATAAGCAGACTTGATTTATAAGTGGAGTACAGCTGGGAGTTCCTATGATCAAGATCAAGTGTGCATGTTATCAATTCAAGCTTCATATGATCTGATCACAGACAATTGGCAGCCAGTCAAGTTGTACATCACCTATGGAAGCAAATTCTGTAGAGAACCTTCAAGGAATAAAAGAACTTTAACCTTCAGTATGGGGAAGATCACAGGAAGTGGGTTCAGTCAACTTGTGATTCTTCAAATAAAAACCAGAGGTAATGTCTGGAGAGGAGGTAGGAAGTCATGAAAGTTAGTTGTCCTAAAAGGTCAGTCATTCTATTAACACTTTTGCTCCAGAGGGTTGGTGAATGAAGTTATTTTGAGAGGTCTACCAAAAAATACATAACTTTTAAATAGAAAATGATAGACTTACTCTTTTTTGGAAATTGAAGCATAAGTTCTCTACTTTATTTTGCTAAATTATTTCAATATGATACAAATTTAAAAGGATATACTATTACATCTACTGTCGTCTGATGGCAGTTAGGACAGTATGTACAGTTATGTCCATCGGATCAAAAGTTTCAAAGTAGTGTATAGGATTTTCTGAGATGACCATGGAGTAAGGAGCAGTGCACCTTTTGCAGTCATGTGTGTGGTTCAGGAAAGATGGCACATCGCCTCACAATGCTTGGGAAAACCAGAAAATCCTGCAGAACACTATCATAAAATGACTAATCTTCTTGGACTAGCAAGTTTCATGGCCCCTTACCTACTCTCCAGATTTCTTCCTCTGGTTGTAATTTGAAGGATTCCATGTTGACCAATCCCACTTCCCATGCTGAAAGCTAAAACTTGCTAAATCCTGAAAGAGATTATGCAAGATATTTCCACAGGTGATATACAATGTGAACAGCCACCTACTGTCAGCAATCAAGTTGTATGGGACAGCCTTTACAAGAGCACTTTACTTGTGTTGTTCATTCATGTCTGCATTGGATTAAAGATATAAGAGGGGCATTAAAAAAGTTTCTGGAAACATTTAATAAAAACTAAACAGTTGTTTTCATTGCTACCAAAATCAGTACACAGAAATATCACACCTCCCTTAGCCCTGAAAATAATCACTATTTTAAATTATGCACTACTGCCATCTGGAAGGCAACAATTGTATACCCCTTCTGTAGAAGCCTGTTTCTTGTTATTGTAGCCATGGATTTACAGAACTTTGAAGATCTTCACCATCGATGAAGTGCATTCCACAAAGTTGGTCCTACAACTGGCCAAACTGATTATAGTTGGAATGGATTATGCCTGGGCTATATGGCAGCAGTCCACTGAAAATTGGAAATAACTTGCATTGTTTTGAATGCCAGCTACAGCAAGATACAGGCTTCTACAGAATGGGTCTAGTCATTGCCCTCCAGATGGCAGAAGTGCACAGTTTTGAACAGTGTTTATTTTCAGGGCTAAGGGCTGTGTGATGCTTCTGTGTACTGATTTTGGGAGTGATGAAAACAATGGTTTAGCTTTTATTATATGTTTCTGGAAACTTTTCAGACATCCCTCATATCAAAACTGGGGGATCCTGTTATGTCTCTCAAAATCCCCATGTCTTAGAAACTAAACTCTGAATTTTCATTCTCATTGTTTCTTTTTCACGTAAAAGTTTCTTATTTCCCTTGCTTTTCTCATTCAAAGGTAATTTTGAAACATGAAAAAGTCCAGGAAATAACTGATTTGAGAAAAAGAAAAAAACCTCAAGTTAATTACCTTAAAGAGATGAAAAGGGAACAATAAAAGAAAAGGGAATAATTCTGCAATATGTCCTTGCCCTAGGAAATACCAAGCAGAACAGCTGTGACTTCAACAGAGAACTTTTGGTTTTGATTGACATGTTCCAGTCATCAAGGAAGTTAGACCAATTACATTTTTCCTAGTAAAAATGCCCATGAGGATAAAGACATATGTCTGGGAGCCTGTCACTTTCCCAGTCTTCCATAAAAATCAAGAGATATCTATATGCACTGCATAGGAATTTACTTTTTTTAAATGAATTTGTGCAAATATCTTGTCATGACCCAAATATCTAATCAACTTGCAATTATCTGTATGTGCTAAAACATCTCTGCAGTTTGAGAGAAACTCTGAATAACCTTGAATTGGAGGGAGAATTTCATTTTTAGCTCAACTTGTCATAAATTATCCTTATTTACAGAGACTTATGAAACACCTCAAGGCCACCTTACTTTCATTTTCAAAGGCATATGTGCATCATGCTGCATATATGGTGCAGGACCAGCAATCTATCCTTTTATCAATTTGCATCCCATTTCATAGGAAGAAAATCAATGTCAAATTTATGTTGGTTACCCCAATAGGTACTGGATATCAGAATGAAGACATTCAGTTGAAATACACAACAACAAGGCATCAAAAATCCATTTGAGAACTCAAAGCCTTCCAAGGACAAGAGATTATGCTTAGCCATACATAATATTTTTGCAATGAGGACTCACATCAACATCACCAGGTTCATTTTCATCACTCAGATTTGGGATGTCAATCTTTCCCAAGACTTGGAAATCACTTCCATTGGCCTTCCCCTCCCACTTCAGTTTTAGATCCCATTCATAGAAGAGGATGACTTTGGCCTTCCTGTTGTTGGCAGAGGCTTCACCTTCACATTTCTCAATATCTGTAATCTTGCAGACTCCTGGGGAAAGCAATCAGAGATTAAATATTTTGTCCCTACTGATTTATTTTATTAACCAAGCCTAGGGATGGGGTTTTGACAGGTCCATTAAAAACCTGTCAATTTATGGTCATTTATGGTCGTCATAAATTTATGGTCATTTATGGTCGATAAGGACTCTCTAGTGTGATTTTTCCTCAACTGTTTTGTGGTCCATTTGGATGCCATAGAATCACCAACTGAAACCACAATTCTCATTTGAAATAGGCTTTGGCATATGTAAAACACATGTTGGAACATTAGACAGAGTTCAGTGATACTTCAAGATAGACTGGAGGTAAATCCAGAAGGCAAAGTTTAAAAGTGAAGCATAGCATTCAGTGAATAGCATTCAAAAATCATAGTAGGAACATGCAGGGTGGCTAGGCCTCTAACACCTCATGTGTTCTCAGGTTTTAACTTAACCCTTTCAGACCTGGTGTCCATTCCAATGTACATTGCATTTACATTGTGTCTATGTCAATTTCATAGGATTCTTGTTACTTTCTGCTCCATATTATGCTACAATGGGCACAATTATGCATGGCTCAGTTCCATCAAAGGCCTTCTTTCACCCATTAGTTTTGTAACCTTCAGTTATTTAATTAAATGTATAATATATAATATATGGTATGATATGGTAAATTTATATAAAATACAAAAACTACATATAAAGCATGAAATTTTCAATTACAATCATGAAAGAGCTCAAAAATGCAAAAAATGATATTATTCTGATAGCAGACTTAATTCAGGTTTGAAATGGTTAGGTGCTGAATCTACCCTTATGAATCAGTACAGATGAAAGATCTGGAGAAGGGTAGGTCTGTTCACAAAACATTATATGCAAAAAAGTCCTATCTCTTGGCGAACAGAAGAGTCCTTCAATCTGTATCTTCACAGGAGTAGAAATTTAGCAGCGAAATTGCATTCATAATACATTTTCCATGGAAAAATTATGGTAGAAGTATTACCAGCCTTGTTATAATTTCTTCTCAATTATCTTTGTAGTCATGCAATTTTCATTTTGAGATTCCAATACTAACCCTGGTCATCATGCATTTCAAAAATGCTATGTAGAGTAAGATTCAGATGATTATGAAAACCAAACCTCAGGATAGTGATCCTGAACTCCTATGACAGCAGAATCGCTCAATCAATTTCATTGGAACCTTTTTATTGCCATGAAATTGTATATATTAATTGGGATGATTTTCTCAGCAAGTTATTGATGAGAGATATGGCTATTTCAAGGAGTAATGCTAAAAAGTCAACATTAATAAGTAGTTAGTACCAAAGCACCATGGGAATGGTACCATGACAAGCACCATTTTGTTCTTACTTCTGATAAGATGACAATAACAGTAATATCAGTAATTTGTTGCCTTACTTCATATTTGCATGCTCCATGTGGCCACTTGGTTATCCCAGCAGCAATATGTAAAGATAATACATGCTAGAACAATAAATATGATCCTTGTCAGACGAATCCAAGCATCCATGCAAGTAGAGTGTTTCATAAATCTGGAAACAGGAATTTTGTGTATGTTTCTTTCTTGCAGATCAAAGCTGGTAACTCTAAAGCAACATGGCTGCCAATCCCCTGAAGTATCCAGGAAGAGTGAATACAGTGTTTTTCCACTTGAGTTAGACTTTGAGAAGTTCCACTTTCACTAGACTTTGACAACGGTGCATGGTGAGGGTGATCAATCCAGAATCTAGGAGTTCCATTCTTAAGTGCAGATGTTGTGATGACATTGGCATCAACAATGATGACTAATTTCCTGCTGAAGAGAGGAAAATTAATATGAACCCTCCCAAATGCACAATATATTGAAATGATAATTTAATGTTGTAGTGAAAATCTAGGGTTTCGTGTCACCCATTACTGTTTCCTTAATAATATTTCAATAAGACAGGTGAAGTTTTGGGCATCATTCCTGGGTTCTGAAGTATCATTCCCCATGCTGAACTTATGTAGGCTAAATTAGGCCTATCTAACGTGGATCTGGGATTGTCCATCAAAGTCTGATCCAGTGTTTCTACATCGTTGAGCTGATGGGAAATTGAAAACTTAGAGCCTTTTTTATTTAAATAGACTGCAAGGAAGGTCTCCTGTTGACAACGTGGCTATGCTCACAGTTCTCGTTTCTAGTACATAGTTTGATTCATATGAAAAAGCTTAAATATTTGAAGGAGAGAAAGATGTAGTTAGTCTCCAGAGGCACCAGCGCCCTCACCTGAATACCCATGCATGGGTGTCTTAGTCAAGTGAAGAATGAAGTGAAAAACACAGTACAATAACTAAACATGTTCCTTGACAACAATGGTGGACATATTGAGCATTTTCTTTGATTGATTGGACATTTATTTTCCTATTTCAAGAATTGTGGGACACCCTGTACTGCTAAGGAATCAGTACAAAGACACATTCAAGCACTTGCAAATAAAATTGAAAAACTATGCAATACTAATGCATAATGGCACATTTTGGAGCCCTTTTTCAAGTCCCATATTAAATGTATTGCATCACATAGAGCAGTAATGAGGAACCCAAGAGGTGCAACAAGGAACAGGGGAAGACAGAAATTGCAATGGAAAGATGAAATAGTTAAGATAGCAGATGAAACATGGTACAGAAAAGCTCAAGACTAAGTACTTTGGCACCAGATGGAAGAGGCCTTCATCCAGCAGTGGATCAAAGATGGCTGATGATAATTACAAAGAGGGTTCTCAAATTAATCAGTTAGAGGTTAGAAAAAAAACAACAGAAGAATGGAGAATGATGAACAGAACCCACTTCATATAAATGGCATGACCTGGAGATCCCAACTCATGGTTGCATGGTGTGTAGTTTAACTAATTTTTGCAAAAATTCCTCCTCCCAGACTAAATGTGGTTCAGGTAGTTTCGACTAAAAAGTGCCAATACTAAAATTGGCAATGGATGTCTAAGAAGTGTAAGGGTAACAAATAGAAGTGCTCAGTGGGACATCCTTCTATCTGGTGGCCTGACAATGAAAACTGAAATTCAGTCAGCATATATGCCTGATGTGGCATTCACTCCATCAAACATACAATGACTAGGGAAATGAAACTTTAGCCCTATCCTGTTAGTAATCAGTTTCCATAAATTGCAACACATACCTCTGTGCTTCATCTGCTAATGTCAGGCAATAAAAAATCTCATTCCACTGATGAAAAAATAAGTCAAAGTCTCTAAATAATTTTCAGAACATTCTGAGAAATCATAGATCAACCACTCACCAATATGAGGGTCTTCAACAATCATACCAACTAGAAGACTTCTCAGTTTTTCTGTGGACCACCCAGATGCATTCTTCTCTGTCCTAATAGAAGAGGTTAGAGCATATAACTATTCATTAATCTGACTTTCTAGACCTAATCAAATTCTCAGCTTTCAACACATGAGTCTGAAATGACACCACATCAAAAGTACTTCATGCATTAATCAAGTTTGAGTAATGAAGTTTGGTTCTACCTATTGGAGAAGCGTAATTAGCATAGGCTAATTTTCATCTTCATGGATGCTGCTCAAAAACTGGGTGGATCTTGAAAAGGGCTTGAAATAAAGCCACCAATGAAAGAGGTGAGCTAGCACTTGGACCAATGTAACATTCCCATTTACATATTAAATGAATGTTTATGGCACCAATTAGCTTCGTATTGGGTCAAGGAGAAGTAATATTGTGATGAAGTAGTGATCATAAACAGCCATCAGTGATTATTGCCTCTTTAAGAAACACATTTATCAATACTAATCTACAGGGTGTTTTGAAAGCCACTCTCTAATTTCATATTGTAATAACTTCTATTTATTTTACTTGAACAATTGTTTTCAGGTCAAAAGGTGTGATATTCAATTAGGTTTTATGATTTCTTTAATTTGTTTGTTTATGCCAAAATAGAATCTTTGACACAGTGCACAAAGAGCTGTATGGTAGGGCTCAACAATTATTTTCCAGTGATGCAAGTGAGAAACGGGGGAATATCAAGGCTTGATTAATGAGTCGAAACAAACTACTAAGGAACAAGACTTGGTTTTTGTTCAATTTGAAGGAAATCAACCCATTGTGTCACATACTGGTTCAAACTTAAAGGATAAAAAATACACTGGACACCCCTGCTGACGGATTTGCCTCAGCCTAGTGCAGTGAGCCCTTGAAGAGGTGGGAGCATTTGTAACAGGCCAAGATGATAGTCAATGGAACCCCTGAATGTAAGGGGGGATATATGGAGCCATTAGTATATCCACTTCAACAGTCCACCCAATCATTAAGAATAATCTCAATATAATATGCTTAAAAAAAAAAAAACTGCAGTTACTGCAAGAGTGGAGTGCCTTGGAGCAGAGCACCATCAATGGAGCAAATCTGCAATGATGACAGCAGCTGCATGCTTGCATTCAAGAATGGAGGAGCTATTTTGAGCATAAGCCACAATTGAAGGTATCCTACAAATTCATTTTTAAAAAAGCCATTATCTATCCATATTCAATGTCAAAAAAATTAGCCTGGTTTAATAAAATATACTTTCACTATACAGAATAAACAAGCACAATTTTCTTTGAAATACCATGTAAAATATAATGAAGAAGCCATTGCACTAGGCCAATTTACTGAAAACAGTAAAGCCTGCTCCAAATATCTTCTGAATAATGCATCTTTATTACATGATATATTTTTCTTGGGTACAGTTAAGTAACATTTAAAATGTAATTGGCATCACTGTTTGAGGAAGATTACATGCACTGCTAAACCTGCTAAAGACAACTACTTTCATTTAAGGGGCATCATGGGAATATCAGAGGGCTGTAATAGAGTTTTTGCATGTAGAAGGTCCAGAACTATGCAATATCTCCCACATTATGGTTGCCATTCATAGTGAGAATTTTCGGCATACGTATGAGGTGTGAGCTACCGCGCCGCAGTGGTCTATGCGGCATATGCAGTGTGAGCTACCACACCAATTCATGGCACTGATATTGCCAGTATTGCAAACATCCCCAAGTATGAGGTATGAGCTATATGCGGTTCGGTGGCCTACCTGGCGCCGGTATGCCTAATCTGGCATAATCCTTGCTTGCAATTATGTATTAAGCAGGTGTCCTTTCTTGCGGATTAGCCAGGGAGATTACCCTTGCGGATAATCCGAAGTCATAATGCTCTCCACTCATATAAACCCATCAAATTCTCGAGAACAGTTAGTTGCTCAGGACGTGGCACGACCCAGGATATGAAGGAGCGGTACCTCATCGAGGTATGGTGGAGAGGATTGAATCCGGAGAAGACATTCGAGACCTTCTTGCGGGATATGGCGCTAACATTCAGAAATTGAACTTAACGATAAAAGAGAATGAAACAGCCCTTTTCAGGGCTATCACAAATATTGGGAAGAGCCTTTACGGTAGCTCACACCTTATACGCTGCAAAGATCACTGCTGCGCGGTAGCTCACACCTCATACTTATGCCGAATTTTCATCCAAGAGATGAGTATATGAATGAAGCAAAATGTTTCATGGTGGATGCCTCTTAGTTGAAGACATTCTCAGATCCAGTTTAGGTTGTGTCTTCATCATGAACAAAAACAATATAGTGCAGGCATATGAGGCGAAGAAATAAAAAAAAAAAAAAACTTGTTTCTGGATGCCATAGGTACAGAAGCAGGGATATGCCATGGGTTTGTGCATACAATCATTCAAGATCCCCTCCAGTACTATTTGGTGTGTGCTAAACAAGTACTAAACGAATGACTGTATCTGAATGAATTGTCTTGCATGTATGTGGCATGATCATGCTGAAGGATACAGTTTTTCAGCCAGAATCATGGCATGTGATGAAACCTAGTGTCATAATTTTAACAATGACACCCTAGAGAGGGCATTGAGGGGTTAGCAATACCACTCAAAGACATGGTAGAGGCAGTGAGAACAAGGCACCACCAAATGCTAATGTTGTTCTACCACAGTGCCAAAAAAATCAGGTCAAGTGGTGGGACAATCATTCAATACCCACAGAGAGTATTTTCAATAAAAGCTGCATGCAGAATTGATAGAAAATAATTGCTATTTTCATTCAACTGGTTCAAGTACCTCCACACATACATGGCAGTCTTCTCTGAGTGAAGAAGCATCTAAAGACTAAAGCAACTTTTTTCTTCACTACTACAAGGAGTTGAGAAAATCTCCCAATCCCCACGATGCCAAGCAGCATAACTGAGCTCCACAAGCAACAAGGTCATGATTTGAGAGACCCATAGGTAAGTTACAAAATTTGTATGCATCTCAGAACAAAAAAATCCTTTTGGTGGCATGGATGTATTAAATGTTTACAGATTCACTGTTACCACCATTTGCATGTACCTAATGTTTTTATATGTGCTCAACAGTCCAGTAACAGTTCCCTTGTCTGAGGAGGGTTATCATTCAATCATTGGTATACCTCATTGCAATTAGTGGTGGTAGCAATTATTATGTGTCTATCCTGCACCATCAACAACGCCAGGAAAGGGATATAAATAGGAATAACTCAATCCGGGAACACTAGTGAGGGACCCAACAATACCTTCCTTTATCATGTGGGCCTGGTTCTACCAAATTTTAGGCCTAGACTTTAATTTCAATTTAATTTGGGTGAGTTGCTTATTCGGAATTCCCGAATGGCATTAACTAAGAGCTTCATGATGAACTAACCAGTGCCAATTGTTCACATTCGTAGCATCCGGTCGCTCCTCAACAATCCACCTGGGATCGCCCTGTCCCCACTTCGCCATTCTTCCTCTAGCGTCAAATGGACGGTGAGCCTACGGCACCAATTGCTAGGATATCTTTGGAATCTTTGATCAAAGTATTCCCGAGCGCAGAGGAAATATTGGTCTGGCAGCTTCGAGAACTTTCCACCAGAAGCGGATGGGGAGCAGACGCTTGCCGCAAGTGCGAGCTGCCATGTTTATTATCAACATGTCTCCCTGATCAAAACTTCTTGGCGGGCATTTACCCTTCAACTTAGGACAACCTAGGCTGAGTTCAGACTTAACTTACTGTTCTTAGTGCGAACACAATTCTTTTGCATAGCCTTGTTCGTACGATTTTACTTAAGGGGATGATCAGAAAAAGAGGAACATTTTGGTCCATAAGTACTAAGTAGATTACTTCACGAACGTTTGATAGGTGCATCTAAGTGCAGAAACCCATGAAAGCAACCAGTTCAATATCCCTACTGGCATTTTCCAGATGGACCAAAGCTGTAAATTCGAACTATTTGCAACTGTCAAAGAGGTATAAAATAATATGTACAGGTAGGGTTGCCACCTTTGAAATTAGCAAAATATGGAGAAATATATGAAGTATACTTGCATTTGTAGTTCTGCTGCAAATACCTACGGCAACCTTAAGCCAAAGTACCAATTGATGCTATGAGAGTGTGGCATACTACTCTGGCTCGAAGAAAACAGTGGTTTCAGCTGCTATTAAGTTTTATTAACTAAAAAATCATAAGTTTAAAGTATGGATGAAGTAGTGTCCACATTAAGACAAGTTTGCAGTTTGGACATTGCATCTGAAATATGAACTGTCCATACTAATTATGAACGGGTGGCAACCCTAGGTACAGGTGGTTCTACAGTTGGAATTTTCCAACTGGAATGCAGATGGTTTTGTTGTTTCAAGCTGAAAATTTCCTATTAGAATTTTATACAGAAGATCCTCCTGCTGGAATAGTGCTGAAATTCAGCTGCTTATGTAGATGGTCCTCCAACAAGAATAGCCCAGAAAACATTTCAGCATTGGTATTGCAACTAGGAACCAATCTGGATTAACCTTCCAGCTGTTACCCAGTTGGAATGAGTCCAATTTTACAGCTGAGGTTCAGCTGGCAGTTATAGGTGTTTCCAGCTGGGATTTGAAGTGGGGCAGAAGTTTATGATTTGTTTCCCCTTTTGTTTACCAGAATTGGATTAATCAAACTGCAACAATATCTTTGTTAAGTACTACCTCTGAGAGAAAATGAAAGAAAATTTGGATTTTTCATGTTCTTAATGGTTCTTCACCAGTTCTGCTTAAGCCAACTTGTGGGCCATTTTTACCAGTCACAATGTTTGCATCAAGGGCAGTTGAGCTCATCAAGGATTTACAACGCTCTGACACCATGCCACCGTTCAATGTGAGAAGTGTCTCTATTCATAGACCTATGATGAGCCCATCCATTTCCCTTTCAGCCTACGCCTATAGAAGCTTGTACATGGGCTTATGGCTAGGATTACCCAGTCCAAGTCATGTCTCATATATTTCAGATTTTAACTAATAGAAATTGTCGCTTACAGTCACCCACATCAAATGATGTCGAAGTGCGTAATATAAGCTTTCCCCAGGAAACACTCCATACTTTTTAGAATCACAACCAATGCAGTAAGGGTTGTAGCCACTATCATATTTCCAGACTTGCACAACCCTTCTTAATCTTTTGCCTGTGTTTTCCTTGATTTGCACTAACACCTAGATGACATAGATGATGGCCATGCACATAACAGTGTGCTTTGTAATGCATCCAACCCCTTCAAAAGCATTAGCCTTCTGATTATTTTAGGAATATTAGATGTGTAATGTACTAGAAAACTCCCAAGTCTTTCAACCACCTTTAGAATTTCATCTATCCACATAAATAGCCACATTTTGAGAAAATTTTATCTATTGAACCTCATTCCTAGTAATGGAGTCCTACATGCATAAGTCTAAGGCCAAATTCATACTCCTGCTGTCATAGCATAGCATGGATGGAAAAAAAGGGGGGGCAGGCATGGAACTCTGGGATATCGTTATCTTGCATTTCTAGGTCTTTTCCTTCCTTTTTTGGCTTCTTTTTTTGAAAAGTGGGGGGAGGGCACATGCCTCCCCTTGTCCCCCAATGCTATGCTGCTGCCTGCTTCACTGCATACTAGATGCGGTACAGCAAGATGTGCTTAATAGGATTTTTCATTGTACCTTGATGATTCACCCCTTTGTCTACCTTTTTGAACACCTTGTCTGGCTTTTCACAGACCACCACTGGCTAATGTCAGTCTGGAGTTTATTACTACCCTTCCCCTTTTTTCCCCTTTTCATTGATCATACTAACAATTCTTAGCATGATGTAACTCTTGAATTTGGGGCCTACAACTGATTAATAGGTAGAAAGCAGGATTATTACCTATTTCACCTCATAACAAGTAAACTTTGTCTAATATCCCCTAAACAGGACTATGTAAATGCAGCAAATGGAATCACCCCATATGTCAAAATGGTGATCTCCCATGTGAACAGAAAATTCCCCAAGGAAAAAAAAAAAAAAACAGACTTAAACCTTGGTTCACTTCCCTTCTTGTATCAAATTCTGATTCAGATCTGAGTTGGATACCAAGAGTCTCCTGAGATCATGTTTAGAGTCAAGAAACTGCATGTTTCTGGTGAAAGCAACACCTTTCCAATTCAACATTGTCAGTGGCCAAAGTGACAGTATTTATCCTGGATTCATTGAATTTTCCCCCATTTTGAGAAGCACCTTTAACTTTGAATAGCCTTATTACTATTACTGACACCTAACACCTTAGGCTAAGCCAACTCCATGAGTTTGTGGCTGCTTTTGGAAGTTCTATGTGTTGATGAACAAGAAACATAGAGAAGAAGTCCAAATAGAGAAGTGAGCTATCATAGATGATGTACTAATCAATGCCTATTGCAAAAGATGTCCCATCTCATTACACTGTTTTGTACCAATTATGAAATGCATTTTACCATATAACTAGCCATGGTTAGGCCTAAGTTAGCAAAATTCTGATCATGCAGTTCTATTTCATTCCAGGAAGATGGAATCCGTCAAGTACTTGATGAGATGAAGGCTTTATATGAAGAGAATCATCGAGATGTGTGAGTTCAAATCTAGTCTCCAAACCTTGACCTATGACTTAGCCTGCAGTAATTTTCAAAGGCTATGCCTCGTATCTAAAGGCCATGGCTATTGTGCGTTCTGATGTTCCAGGAATGCTACTGTTGCTGGAAGTGCTGATCACTTCAATGCTGTGCACTTGAGACATTCAGCCTTGGAAAGAAGCAAGAGGTGTCTCCTTGCATATTTGTAAGCTTATAGACTTTGAAAGAGCTTTGTGTTAATGGCTAAGGCAAGATTTCATTTTGGGGCATTATAGTGTTTTTCACTTGAGTCAGACATATTTCACCTGACTTTTACCATTTTGCATGAGAAACATCCCATCCATGAGTGTCCAAGTAAAGTTAAAAAAATAATAACTAGTCAGCTACCTTTTAGTTACCTTAGGGGCTCCATGGCTACTTTGAGTGCTTTCCAAAATATTTATCCAAGTGTAGGGTGTGGCAAAAAAAAGTAAGGCCAATTCCTTTTGTCTCTTCTCCCACTGGAGCTGTTTTCACAAAAATATATTTGTCCATCAAAGGATTGTTTCCAATGTATGTTCCAAATTTTTTCAAAATGTATTGCTTTAGGAAAGGCTGAGAGAGATGATTGAAAAGGTGTTAGGTAGCGAAAATCAACAAAAAAACTCATGCTGGTAGTGAAGTGGAGGTACATGCATGAGTACTTTACTTGCATATCATCTTGGCCACATCCATCTTCTCTTTCATGTCAATTTTTTTTACCTTCTGTTGCTAATAGTTTGGATGAGCTTTATTCCAATCAATGGCAGATGAATCATGTATAAAATCAGAGAGGTTGCTCAAGGTTTATTCAAATGTTCTATTGGTCTTCCAACAGAAAATGAAGCAGGCAGATGAGGCATTCAGAAAGGATTGGAGTCCCCTGTACATTTTCAATTTCCAGTTTAATTCAGTTAATTGCTCATTGCCTTGCTTTGGCAATATCAATTTAAATGAAATTTCAGTAGTCAATTAAAAGCACATCCATCTATGCAAGTTTCACTAAAATACTACTACTTTCCCAGTTTGTATGGGTCTTTTTTCACAACTAAAGAAGGTGAAGGAAACATAATTTTAACCATCATTCAATGGAAACTTGTCTTCTTTCAGGTTTACTCGTTTGAAATGTCTAAGAGACATGAGATGGGATTTTGGAAGCATCTTGCCTTCAGAGATTCGATTCTATCTTTGTGAACCAGAGGTGATTTGCATGCTTATATCTGTGAAGTTGGAAGTGAGTATGTGCATTTGTATCAATATTAATTTTCATGACAACATGCTTTTTTTTTCCAGGTTCAGTGGTTTCAAGCCTATAGTAAATCCCTTGGAATGTACATGCACTCCATAGGAAGACAAGGCTTGGATCTTACTCAGAATCTTCAGCCTCCAAAGTCTCTTTACATTGAGGTTAATCAGTGTCCTTTCCCATCAACTAAAGGATGACAGTCTAGCCGATTTGCTACAGAAGTAGCTCATTTCTAGCCATTTCTTTGCAGGTAAGATGTTTAGAGGATTATGGAGAAATAGAGACTGATGATGGAGACTTCCTTGTTTTGAGGAAAAATTCAACTCATTTTCTGCCAAGAGGACAAGCTGAACCTCTCATTCGCCAAGGCATTCTTGAACACATCTCATAATGAAGGTCTTGTGTATGGTGTGGACCCTCCTTGTATTTCTGCAAGATAGGGATTAGGTAAGATGGGTGAATTTTGTTTGTGAAGGATTCAAGGAATATAGGTGTTCTCAAAACATGACCTTAAAATTTTCCTTGTAGAAATCTTGTAATCCTCATGCATGTGGAGGGATCTGAATATCATCAGTGCTTCCAGAGCTGCTTCAATGGATCTTGTTACTTCCTGCATACAGGAGGCATCATTCTTTCTAATAAAAAAAAAGGCCCTAAGAGTCATATTTAATTATGCCAATTTGACATTTTTTCTTTTTCAAATACAAATGTATTTCTTGATTAGTGGTTTTGCTTTTTGACTGACGTAAAATGTTTACCTATCTCTTTATGCAGCATCAATAGGCATGAGGTCATTCAACAATTACCATGTTATAAGGAAGAAAATAAACTTTATTGCATTCCAAATGTACAGGGTGATTAATGTTTGAATTACTATAACTGTTGACTTTGAGAAAGAATTCACATGTTTTTTTTGCTGCATTTAAAGAATTTAATTTTAACATTTTATGTGATGTTATTTGGAAAAGTTATTTTAGCACAACAAATCTGGTTGAATGTGTCTAAAGCAGTATGAAATAATTCCTTGCATCTCTCTTCCTCATGGTCCAAGTTTTTTCATCTTAATAATTAGTAAAAACTATGTTTTCAGCAGACAGCAAAAACATTATTATTAGCCATTGTGTTTTTCTTCCCCCCTTACCCAAAATGTAAACTTTCAGCCTAATGAATTCCACAGTTCACTCATGGGGTCAAATTTTGGTTCCCTATCTTGCTAAGTGACAGCATTCAATTTGCCAACTTTAACTCATTGAAAGTTTGTTTCATCGAATGACAATTTCACCATTGACAGCTCATCGATTGCTCAACTTGTCAAAAGCCAATTTGCTTATTCACAATTCTGCTCACAAAACTGCTCAACTTATCAAATTTTCAATTTGTTGAGTGACAATTCATCAACTCACATTTCACTGATTGTTCATCGCAAATGCTTAGCTCACTGAACTTATCAATTGACCTCAGAGAGAAGCAGAAATTATTCCTGTTGACCTGAGTATGATGGAAATAGAACTAGTCCATCTGAGTCTTCATAAGCTGAAGCTAGTAAGCCATTTTGTGAAGAACTTTGGCACTTATGTACCCAGCAAAAATCGTATGGAATCTTTCATCTAACCAGAGAATTGAATATTTGGTGGGTTCTACTTGGTAGAATGTAATTCAAGGAGTTTGTATTAGAAATGAACAATTGGTGAGTTACAAGTTGGTGAAATGGCTTTTGGTGAGTTGTCAATCAGCAAATCGTTCAATGAAATGAACTTTTGGTGAGTTGTATTGGTAAATCGAATTTGACAAGTTAAGCAATCACCCAGATTTCAGTGTCATCAGCTGACTTGTAATTTTGAATACCCTGGTGACAATTCATTATAAGTGTCCAAAGGATTTTTAAAATACTGTAAAAAAAATTATACATTAGCAAGAAATGCACAGTCACTCATCTGCAAAAGATTTGATCCTTGAGATGAACCTTGGGAAATAAATAAATGAAAAAGTATTCATGGGAAGGTCAATTTCTCTGCCACTGACACAAAATTGCTGAAAACTTATATTCTTCATTTTTTGTGAATGAATTTTGAATTGGCATATTGCTACCACCTACACTCTGTTCACATAGATAGTACCATGATAATGCAATTGGTGCTCACCATGCAAAAACTCCCATCTATATCATAATCCACAGAATATTCACTCTTCTGTTTGCAATGCATGAATGATCTGCACTTTGCTTTTTCAGAATTTTAAAATTCATGCATTAAAGAGGATACCTTCTTGTCAATGTACAGGTGAAATTGAGTGAGTTGGTTGCATGGAAAGTTGTAGTTACAGGGAGTTGCAGAAGTAATAGCAGTCAATGTCAGAAGTGCACAAAAATGGAATAAAAAGGCCTTGGTAAGATTGCTTAGAACTTCTATATTTGAAATCAACCCTCCCCCCCCCCTCTGCCCCCCCCCCTTCTCTTTTATTTGTGAATATCTGGCTTCTTCCACAAACGAAAGGAAAGTGTGTTGCAAGTCAGGTTGAACTGGAGGGTTGGCTGAAAAAAAATTAAGTAACTTGAAAATTTATTTAAAGCATAAATTCTTCAGGGAATTGACTTGAAAATGTAAGGATATATTGTTGACAAGTTTCTTCAGGAGCTGTTGAAGTGTATGCGCCCTTGCCCATCTACTCCCCAGCTAACAATTTCAAACACATAATGTTAGGTCAACGTTGAGTCAACATTGGATAAACGTTTGGAATGTTGATACAACGTTGGTCCAACGTAGCCCTGTTTGCTGGGTCTTGAATTAAGGCAGATTTAATCGAATTGGTCAAATTTTGTGAGTGAACAGGCATGTGATTGCCAATGGTGAGGCATGAATCCACCTTTGATTTTTGCATAATGGATCAGTTCTCAGGATGGACCCTCGCGAAAATTTGATGGAACGTTTTCAAAAGTCAACCAAGAAGTTCATTCATCTGAAAGCATTTTCAGGCATCCTCATGCAGTTTGGATTCGTGCCTCGCAACAGCAGTCACATGCCTGCTCACTCAATCCTTTACCATTTCAACAAAGTATGCCATAACTCATGAACAGTGTTGGGTGCATTATTTGTGAAAAGTAACTAGTTACAATTACAAGTATTTCATCCAAAAAATAATTAGTTACAAATAGAATTACTTCTCACCAAAAGTAACTAGTTACAAGTAGAAGTTACTTTTCAAGGTACTTTTCCTGCACAAAAACTGATCTTTCTACAGCTTCTCCACTTCTTCGACAGAAGCTGGATGCATGGACTGAAAGCAAAAGTTACCCCTGATTTCATGAAAATTGAATTATGATCAGCACTTAACTTCATGCTCACTCTTTTCCCTGTGCCACTCTTCCCTTTCCATGGGCTACTTAACATGAATTATATGCTGATAGAATGCACCCTTTGGTTTAAAAAAAAAAGCCAATTTAGCCAATGGTGATGGGGAGACCTACCCCAGCCTGCCCCTTATCATGAGTACCAGATAGAAAAATATAACTAACCAAAGTCATGTTCTCTTGTTTTCCCTTGAACAGACATGGACTGCATAAATCCAACTTATACAGTGATTGAAAAAGAATTGTTACTAACCTTTACAATGTAATGGTATTTTTACGGCGCAATCAAGGAGATGAGGGTGTTCCAAGCATCAAATATGTGAAATTGGGTCTGAGGTGCTCATGTTAAACGTGGTACATATTCACTTGCAAATCACTGTTCATTAAGTTAGGCTCTCCACTTTGAAGTGCAAGTGCTAGGCCTGAATATTAACGGAGTCTAACTGATGATGGATTGTTGGGAGAGTGCTAAAACGGGGCACTTGACATATCGAGAGGCAGGTAGGGTATACCCACCCGCCGAGCCTAAAGGGGATCGGACAAAATTGAGGAGAACCAGACATGGACTGCATAAATCCAACTTATACAGTGATTGAAAAAGAATTTGCACTAACTTTTACAATGTAATGGTATTTTTATGGCGCAATCAAGGAGATGAGGGTGTTTCAACCATCAAATATGTGGAATTGGTTCTGAGGTGCTCATGTTAAAAGTGATACATATTCACTTGCAAATCACTGCTCATTAAGTTAGGCACTTTGAAGTGCAAGTGCTAGGCCTGAGTATTAACGGAGTCTAATTGATGATGAATTGGGAGAGTGCTAAAACGGGGCACTTGAAATATGGAGAGGCAGGTAGGGTATACCCACCCGCCGAGCCTAAAGGGGATCGGACAAAATTGAGGAGAGAGGTGCCAACGATAAGCATACGAAAAGTTTCCGTGCAGATGCACTATCAGAACCAAAGCAATGTCTATCATTCCGATCTAACGTTAGACCAAAAGTTGTCTGTATGGAGTCAGGACACGATGGAACTATCTAGACATGCTTTCTGAAGTTAAATGCTGAAGTTCGTGCGACGGAAAGTACCTTGGCCATCAGTAAACATAAAGCACTTCACACAAGTTTGCATCGATGCGGTGGCGTATTTTGGCTGAAGGGTCGGGGTGGGGGGGGCAGGGCAATAGAGCCAAACCCCACCCGAGAGATATCTTAAGAGTATTACAGTGAAACCTGTGTAATGCGGCCACGAGGGGGAGTTTCAAAACTTGGCCGGTTCTTAAGAGGGTTAGAGACCATTATATCTTTGTAAAGAAGTCTTGAATCTTCGTTTGACGTGCGTGCATTTTTTTTAAAACAGGCAGCGTTTTCTCAGATTTCTTGTTTTACAAAACAGGTTTTGTAAAACAGGCAGCGGTTTCTCAGATCCATCCTCTGCTTCTTCCTCATCCTCCTGGTCTCAGAAGTAGCAGGTTCAAAAAGATGCAGAACGTTGGTCTCCCGATCCCCTTGCTCAAAACTCTCGCAAGTTAGCAAGGAATCTTCCAGTGACAGGAAGTCAGCAGAATTCGTTTCACTGGGGAAGATCTCCATGAGCAGGTTCATTTCCTCCTACTGAAAGTCAATGACCTGGTCCTCCTCGGGAACAGACAGCGTGATTTTGTTCAGACTCCAAAAACCACAATTCTTGAAGCACTTTTGGATAGTTTCACTTTGCTTACAGCATTCTAAGCTGCAAAGAGTCCATACACAGCATCAATGACGCTGAGCTTCTTGGAGAGATCGCTGACTTTATCGCATTCATCCATGCGAGAAAGGAGGATTTTGAGCAAACGTTTTCGGTAGCACTCTTATGATAAGAGGAGGGAGATAACTCTTTCTCCGAATTCTGACTGAAAGGCAGGGAAATAAATAGAGGAAGAAAATGAACCTACGATCTTTTTTCCGTTCGGTGTTCTGGCCGGATTAAAGAGTATCCAGCACAGAGGATCTGCAAATCCTTGTCAGCTGGCCGCGTTAGACAGGTGGCCGGATAAAACAGGTCATTTTAACATTGAGCCTATGGAGCTAACGATTGGGACTGAGGATTTCTGGCCGCAATATCAAGGTGGCCGAATCCCCAGGTTTCACTGTATCTCTAAGGTGGGGCTAGGCTCTGTCCCAGAGGCGCCTTGGGGCGGCTATCCCCTGTAAAATACGTCTCTGCATCGATGGAACTCTCGAATTCGTTTCTGACATGCACATCGAAATATTTTTGCAAGTACGGCCAAGAAACCTGCGCTGAATAAACCATGTTTTCTCAAGGCCAT